GCAAAGAATTTGAAGAAAAAAAAATCAGAAAGCAGTGGCTCTAAAAAGAGCTCTCTAGCCAACACCCTCTAGCATATGCCAAAACTCAGTGCAGAGCAGACTTTTTTACAGTTAAGTTGTAAACACTTGAAACCCAGAGTAATCTCTATAATGGAAATACTGACACCACTCAACTGGAGCAATTCAGATGGCTTTGGCTTTTTTAGCTAGAACATGATGAGTTTTTTGATAGAAAGCCAAGAGGCTCTTTGGAGTAGAACTATTAAGAAATAGAGAGATTGGGGAAAAGCCTTAGAGGATTCAGGCCATGAGCACTGTCTCTAGCTTAATTCTAGTATGCCTCTTCCTTCTATAATGAAGAAAACCCTGCCCTGTGTAAATCTGGACTGTAACTCTGACTTGGGATTCAATTTGCCAGGCCCCCTTACCCTAGGGTTGCCATAAGAAATTCAGGAACAGAATGATTGCTATCTGAGATAGTTTCAGATGTGAAACTCAGCAACCTTTGCATAAAGAGGAATGAGAGAAAATTGAAACTTAAAAAAAAAAAAAAAATCTACTAAAACCTAGCCCTCAAAGTATAAAGAGAATTATACTGATGTCATTTAAAATTTTTAAAGTGTTTTCATAAACGATCTCACTTTCATAAACGTTATCACTAATTCTATTCGATGGCATAACTATATATTAGAATTCCCATTTGTACAGCCAAGGAAATGGAGTGAATAACTTCTCAGTGGCCAGGCTGGGATTAGGAAGCAATCCAAACCCATTGTTCCTTCCTCAGTACTCAAATACCCAACACCTGCACTCTCACATACAGCTGTCTGGAAAGATCACCACCCTGCCCCTGTGCCCCAGTAGTCAGACATTTGTGTAGCTAATTGCATTTGCGATTTCATTTCTCATGGCTGATTATTGTCTTGGCAGTTGGATTTGCCTGGGTACCTCTGCTGAAGGATGGTAGAATCATCACATTTGAGCAGCAATTGCCAGTTTCAGCCAATCTTCCCCCAGGCTACTTGAATCTGAATGATGCAGAATCAAGAAGGGTAGGAAAATATTGGCATGTGTTGGAATTGTCATGATTAAATCTTTAAAAATGTAATTCTGGAAGAAAAAATACTACCCATAATTCTGATGGTCGAGTTGATAATTTGAGGATGTTTTTGTTCTTTGCCATAGAGTCGATTCTGACTCTTAGCGACCTTATAGAACAAAGTAGAGCTGCCCCAAAGGGTTAAACTCCCATGGAGTGACTGGTGGGTTTAAACCACTGACCTTTTAGTTAGCAGTCGAGTGCTTCACCATTGTGCCATCAGGTCTCCTTCAGTTGGAGATGTTGTTGTTAAGTGCCGGCAAGTCAGTTCTGACTCATGGCGGCCTGGTATAGGGTTTCCAGGGAGTGGCAGGAGAGTTTGAACTGTGCTGACCTTGCAGTTCAAACCGACCTTTCGGTCCAGTGCATTATCCTGAAGCACCACACCAGGTTCCTCAGTTGGAGATGGTCGTGGTGGTAGTGGTGGTGGTTATGTGCCATGGAGTCGGTTTTGACTCATAGCGACCAAGTATAGGGTTTCTGAGGTAAATCTTTATGGGAGCAGAAAGCCTCATCTTTCTCCCACAGAATGACGGGTAGTTTCGAACTGCTGCTGACCTTGAGGCTAGCAGCCCGACTTGTAACCACTACGCTACCAGTGCTCCTTCAGTTGGGGATCGTGTTACTCAAAGTATGGTCTGAGAATTAGTTGTGGTCCACAACGTAAAGAAGTCTAGAAAACAAATGTTTAGAAACATAATAGTTTGACCAGTTTAGTTAAGTGATTTTAAAAGTTTGTTGTTTTTAAAATCAGGGCTCAGATTTTGAGTGTATTTGTTTTTAAAATCATTTATTTGCTCATTTACTTGTATTGTAATTTAGAAAAACATCAATATGCAAAGGATTGAAAAATTTTAAAGTACCTTATTACATTTATTCTAAATGTGATGTGATTTTCTCCAATACTTTTCTTTATGTGAAACTAGCATATTTATTCCTGAAAAAAAAAAAATTGAAATGCATAAAAGGTGTTACATGCTGTTCATCTATCCATTACTTAATTTTAGCAACTCTTACCTCTATTTTCTATTCACAGCAAACCAATGTGGATATTAAGTGGGTGGATGGTGCAAAGCCTTTGTTAAAGGTTAAAAGCCACTTAGAGTCAACCATTTACACTCAAGTAAGTTGAATCAAATGAATATGTCAACTTTAATGCCCAAGTCTATTTCTTGACAAAAGTAGACTATATTTGATTCCTATAGCTTTTGAGTTATGCATTTGAGTTATGGTGTTGGAGGACAATATTAAAAGTATCATGGACTTCCAGAAGAACAAACCAATCTGTGCTGGCAGAAGTAAGCCAGAATGCTCTTTGGAAGCCAGGACGGTCAGACTTCGTCTTTCATTCTTTGGACATATTATCAGGAGGGAGCAGTCGCCGGAGAAAGATATCATGTTTGGTAAAGTGGAGGGTCGGAGAAAAAGAAGATGACCCCCGATGAGAGGCAGCAGCAGTGGGCTCAAATGTGGCAGTGATTGTGAGGTTGGAGCAGGATCGGGCAGTGTTTCATTCTGTTGTGCGTGAAGTCCCCATGAGTTGCTACTGACTTGATGGCACCTGACAAAATAGCTTTACAGAAGTTGCGGTCTGTTATTTCTAATTAATACTATTATTGTTATTGTTGTTGCATGCCATCGAGTCATTTCTGACTCATAATGACCCTCTCTAGGATTTCTGAAGAGCGGCTGGTAGGTTTGAACTGCTGACCTTGTTGTTATCAGCTTATCCTACAGTACCATACCAGGGCTCAGTATTGTAAATAATACCCAAAATAAAACCCACTGCCATCAAGTCAGTTCGAACTCATAGTGACCCTATAAAACAGAGTCGAACTGCTCCTTAGGGTTTCCAAGACTTTAAATATCTACGGGGAAGAGACAGCCTCATTTTTCTCCCTTGGCACAGCTGGTGGGTTTGAACTGCTGACTGTGCAGTTAGCAATCTGATGCTTAACACACAGTGCCACCAGGTCTCCTGTGTATTATTAATAGTACCTTAAGTGCTATTCTTCTCAAATTACAAAATTCTTTTTTTCACGTTATCTAATTTGAGCCTCACAGGCCCGTGAAAGAAATGAGGAGGTGATTTGCCACCATTTTATACATGAAAAAAATGGAGGGCTCAGGCATGTGAAGTGACGGACCTAGGATCATACAGGTGATTCTAGGGAACCAGGTCAAAAAATTTCCTTATTCAGATTCCTGATAACCACAAAATAAGTGTATATAGATTCCCGATAGCGTAGTGGTTACAAATCGGGCTGCTAACCTCAGGGTCATCAGTTCAAAACTACCAGCTGTTCAGCGGGAAAAACATGAGACTTTCTGCTCCGATAAAAATTTACAGCCTTGGAAACCCTGTACAGGGTCACAATGGGTCGGAACCGACTCCACGGCACATAACAACAAAACAACATACAACAGTTGTACTCACCATGGAATGCCTGAAACGATCGTCCTGGTAACTTAACTCCCTGCTGCTTACTACGTTGTCTTCCCTGGACCATTAGATGTCTGTTCTTGCTCAGGTTGTTAAAATAAAGAAGCAGCTCAACTTCATCAAATACACTTGGCCAAACAGGAATTAAGAGTTTCTCAAGGCAGAATTCAAGCTATACTCAATATTAACACCGAAGTTAGTCAAATTAAATTCAGCTTTAAAGTAACTGCTTTCATTATCAACAAATGATTACTTTTATAACAAATGGAAATGACTTCAGATAGTCTATACTGCCCTCAATCCCCCCAAAGAGCATATATGTTGTTTGGGGAAAAAAATGGTTGGACAAAATAAGAAAAAAAACTCACAGGACTACAAAAATGAGATGAACTTGTACGAACTGCTATTTAACATGCCTCCCGAAGTGTCTCTATTAGAACAAAATTGTGCAATGGTGACAAAGGTTTTGGTAACTTATAAAAGCTAGGTTCTTAATATCCTGTCAGTGTTGACTCCGTTAGTAGAACTTAGCTTTCCTAATTGGGAATATTCACTCAAATTATACTACACAGTGGTACTATGTTCTTCCACAAACATGTTAATGTCTAAGACTATGCATTTTAGCTTTCCTTTTTTCAGCTTCAGAAAGGATTTTTATGCTTAAGGCTGTAACAATTAGGTAATGTTTAGGATCATCTCCCCTTTAAAAATCTCTACAAAAGCCATTGTCAAACCATTCGAAGTCCACATAATAAAGGATAATTATCACTGCCTATAAAACAAAAAATGACCAGCTACATAAGAAATGTAAGAGTCCTAAAAGTCCCCTTGAAGTATGACCATTTATTTCTCTTATCTAGGACACGAGGAGATACTGCATAAGTCTGAACACACTGCCTAAGCAATGATCCATGAATCTGTATTTTTGCATGGCATTTCGGAAATCATTGATTTTTACACAGATTTCCTTTTCTGTGAATTAGTTCAGGCACCTACTTATTTGCTCCCATATAATCTAAGGTGTTTAAGAAGTCAATAAATTTTAAGTATATTTTAATTACTTACACAAGGAAATCAACTGGAATATGACACTTGGGACTTTTAGTATTATTACCTGATGTACAGCTTAAAATGGACTATAATTGCTTTAATAGAGTCATAGTTACATCAAATAAAATAAACCAATATAATTAAATTTACTCCTATTTTTAAAAAGGAGATAGACCTTCCATTTTCTCTTCTTCTGCGCTGCCTACGGAGGAGCCAGCCATCTCGACCGGCATCATGGCTGCCCTCAGACCCCTGGTGAAGCCCAAGATTGTCAAAAAGAGGACCAAGAAGTTCATCCGGCACCAATCAGATCAACAGGGTGCGGAGAAGATTTAAGGGCCAGATCTTACTGCCTAACATTGGATATGGGAGCAACAAGAAGGCAAAACACATGCTGCCCAGTGGCTTCCGCAAGTTCCTGGTTCACAACGTCAAAGAGCTGGAGGTGCTGCTGATGTGCAACAAACCTGACTGTGCAGAGATTGCTCACAGCGTCTCCTCCAAGAACCATAAAGCTATCGTGCAAAGAGCAGCCCACCTGGACATCAGAGTCACCGATCCCAACGCCAGGCTGCGCAGTGAAGAAAATGAATAGACAGCCTGTTTTCAAGTTTTATTTGTGCTAAAAAAAAAAAAAAAAAAAAAGGAGTTAAATGAATGGGTGATTTTTGGGGTATAAAGTGGTAGCCTCCCTGGTGTGCTTAGGTGTAGGTCAAGTAAAGGGCTTGTTGCTTTATGTGATAGGCCCAGGCCAGGTAAAGGGCTTGTTGCTTTGTGTGATAGGCAACGTGGACGCATACACTGGTTGTGCCACTGCTGAGTCTCAGCACTGGAATACCTGGATAAATAGGTTTGCAAGATGTGGACCGAAGGCGTGCAGTTGTGGTTAATGAATCAAATTCCTCTGTTTCCATGTTTTCCAGGATCTGCACGTGCACAAATTCTTCCATCATTGCCAGCTGATTCAGTCAGGCTCTAAAGAAGTTCCAGGGGAACTCATTAAATATGTAAAGGTAAATGAGCAGCTGCTTTCTGTGAAAGGCTTGCTTTTCCTGTGTTTCTGTTACCACATTTTGAAGTAGGGGGGAAAAAATCACACTATCGCTTTAAAATACTTTTGACTCTGCCCTCAAGAGAGCATTTTCTATTATGTCCTTTTTCTATCAAGTGGTTGTTTTGAAGCAGTCAGTAGAGTTGCCACATTTAGGAAGAAAATATGATAGTCAAAACTTGACATCTTTTAGTTTACATTTCATAAAAATGTTCATTTTAGTTCCATAAATTGATTTTTTGGGTCTTTCCTTTTCCTGCTGCCTGCCCAGTAAATATGGAATCTACAATGGGAAAGGGGGTGCTAGGAGAGACAGAAAGGGTCAGCTGAAGAGAAACATATCGTATACGGGGGAGTCTTGTGATATACCATGTTTTATCAACTGTATAGAGAATCTAAAGAGCCCTGGTGGCACAGTGGTTAAGCATTTGACTGCTAACCAGGTCAAGGGGTTCAAACTCACCAGCCGCTCCATGGAAGAAAGATATCTCAGTCTGCTTCCACAAGCCTTGGACACCCTATGGGGCAGTTTTACTTTTTCCTACATGATTGCTGAGTCAGGATTAATTCAGTGACAGTGGGTTACAGAGAAGTTCAACCAAAATCCATTGTCATCAAGTCAATTGTGACTCATAGGGTGTCTCACATTGCACAATTGGCTGGTGGGTTTAAACTACCGACCTTGTGGTTAGTAGTCCAGTACTTATCCTGTGGCGCCACCAGGGCTCCTCTTCATGTATTACCTATGTGCTGAGACTGAAGTTGCACATCCGAGGGCCTAGCTGATGATAGCTCTCTTCTATTGATTGTTCCTCGAGTCAGCTAGTGGTGGCAAGTCTGTGGAATTTTGATTTTGAATGAAGTCTCTGTAACATTTTCCTTTAAATAGATGCTACTCATTTCTTTCAGAAAGGTCCTATGGTCTGAGATAAAACATATGAGTTCTGGAATCATAAACTGAGTTTTTTCTGTTCCAGATCTGGCACTTAACTAGCTCTCTGATTGACTTAACTTCTCCAATCCTTTATTTTTGCATCTGTCCAATGAGCATCACAGTAATACCCATTTTTGTAGGGTAGTTCTGAGGATTAAATGAGATAGGGTATCTTCCATATTGTAAGCATTCATTCATCCAACCCTTATTTATGGGCCAGGCACCAGGAACATAAAGGGAAAAATAAATACCATCCCTCTTGTCAGAGTTCATTTCCTTGTTGAGGCAGATGAACAAACAGATAAATAAATACAGTAGGTCAGGAGATAATAAAGGCTATGAAGGAAAAGTAGAGTAAGAAGGGATAGGGAGTGATGAGAAGGGCCCCTGACTCAGATAAAGTGATCAGAGAGAAGCCCTCTCCAGTAGTGAAGATTTGAGTAGAGATCTTAAAGGAAATAAGGTAAATTTCTTGGGGACAACGTGTACAGCCAATACAAAGGCACTGAGGAGCTTGTGTGGTAAATTCAAGGAAAAGCAAAGGATTCCAGTATGGCAAGAACACAGAGTGGTAGCTGCTATTATGTGGGTGAGTCATTTGGAAAGATGGTTGGATAGAGCCTCCCAAGCTGCTATGGTGGTTATTAAGTGCCATTGAGTCAGTTCTAACTCATAGCTATCCTGTATAGGGTCTCCAAGCAACAACTGGTGGGTTTGAACATTGACCTTGCAGTTAGCAGTCCAGTGCTGATCCTTCAGCGCCACAACAGGGCTCCATATTAAGCCATGGTGAGGAATTTGAATTCTACTCCAAGTGAGATGTAAGCCTTGCAGGGCTTTGAACAGCGGAATGACATAATCAGAGTTTGGTTTAAAAAGCATCATTCTGTCTACCACACAGAAAATATACATTTGGAAGGCAATGGTGAAAGCAGGGAGTCAGTCAATAAATGACGTGGCGCTCTAGGATAAGCACTAGACCACAAGATCAGTTTGTATCACAATTCAGCGGTTCTAACCCACCAGCTGCTCCTTGGAAACCTATCTATAAAGGGTTGCTATGAGTGGAAACTGACTTGAAGGCACTTAATAACAACAACACCACTACTATTCTCATTTATCCTTGTTGAGTGCAGTTCAGTCAATTTTGACTCATAGAAACCCCATGAACAGAATAGAACTGACCTATAGAGCATGATGGCTTTATACGATAAGCACTGGACTGTAGACCACAAGGTTGGTGGTTCAAACCCACCAGCCACTCTGAAGGACAAAGATGAGGTTTTCTGCTCTCACAAAGATGTGCAACCATGGAAACCCTACGCAGGGTCACTATGAGTTGAAACTGACTCAACGGCACTTAAAATGTGGGGTTTTCTAAGCACAGATCCTTATGGAAACAGATGGTCACGTCTTTCTCTTGCAGAGTCACTGGGTGGGTTCCACCCACCAACCTTTTCATTAGCAAACCAGTGTTTAGCCATTGTGCCACTAGGGTTCCTTGCATTACTATTTCAGTGCCATAGTCATCTAACTTTCCAGTCCTTTCCCCACTGATGTCTAGAAGACTTCAATATGACTGCTCCTTCTGTTAGGTTCATTGACTTTTACTTCCAATGAAGAATTTTTTGTAAATGTTGAAATGGAATGGAATGGAATACAACATCATTCTCCTGTACTGATATTCTTAAAATGAAAGAAAAATGAAATCCTCATCTTTGCGTTGTAAGGATGTGGATTTTTGGATAGTTGTATGACATGCCCTTGCCCTCTAGTGGCAAACAGTGAAATGGCACCATAGGTACAGAAATATCCAAGCTCTGGTAGCGTAGTGGTTACGAATCGGGCTGCGAACCTTAAGGTCAGCGGTTCGAAACTATCAGCGGCTCCGCGGGAGAAAGATGAGGCTTTCTACTCCCGTAAAGATTTATACCCTCGGAAACCCTGTACAGGGTCGCTATGGGTCGGACCCGACTCGATGGCACTTAACATAACAGCACAGAATGAGGAGTCATAGTGATTCAGTGGGTTAATCATTGGACTGCTAACTGCACTCCACAGGAGAAGGATGAGGCTGTCTGCTCCTGTGAAGATTGGCAGCCTCAGAAAGCCTAAGGAGCAGTTCTTCTCTATCCTGTAGGGTCAGTATGTGTTGGAATCAACTCGATGGCAGAGGGATTTTTTTTTTTTTTTTTTGGTCCTGGAATGTTAGTGCTATAAGAGATTCTAGAGATCTTTTTGACAGAAGAGGAAACTGAAGTCCAAGTAGATGTGACTTGCCGGTCAGTCACATTTAGCTGCTTAGTAGCAGAGCCGAGCAAAGCCTGTGACATGTGTCTCTTGACTTCTAGTGCCATGTCCATTCTACCCAAACCTTGCTATTCATTGACATTAATTTCATCAGTTCATTTAACATCTAGTTGCTCTTACTGAGGAGAATGTCTTAGGATCTTTGTCCATGGGGATTTTATGACCTAATGGGAGAGATAGAACACACATGAGTTAAATGGAAATATAAGATCAATACAAATAATCCAAGCAATATGAGCCTAAAGGTCAAATTGTGATATGGATTGTAAATGCCAAAGGGCTAGGTGAGCTGAGGAACCACTGGAGACTAGAGGACTCTCATCCTTATTTCACACTTTGGTTCCTCATTTTAGTTATTTGTTCATTGGCGCTGTAGGATAAGCACTGGCCTGCTAACTGCATGGTTGGTGGTTCAAACTCAACAGCTGTTCCTCAAAAAGCCTATACAGGGTCGCCGTGAGTCGGAACTAAATGGCGCTTTTAACAACACCTATAGGCTAGTCACTATTCTGGGTGCTAGAAATATAATGGGGAAAATTGAGATAACTTATCTTCTCTAGTTATTGTAGACAGATCATAACCAAATAAGTAATTTCAGTAGAGCTGAGTGCTGTCAAGAAACTAAGACAGATTGAAGGGCTGTAAATGAGTATGTTCTATTTAGATAGAGTTGTCAGGGAAGGCCTGCCTGAAGAAGTGGCACTTCGAGCTGAAAAGAAACAGGTGAGAGGAAGCCACAGGTGATAAAGCTGTGTAAAAGGGAGACCAGAATATTGCAGCAGGTGATTACACCTTGAGCTGGTAGTGAGCATACCATGTTTGAAGAATGGAGAAGACCATGTAGCTAGAGTACGAGTAAGGGGATGGCACGAGATGAGTTAGGAATGGTGGGCAGGACCCGTGTAGGCATGGGAAGTCCTTCACAGCTTTGTTGTTGGTGGTTTGGGTTTTGTTTTGTTTTTTTCACTTTTAACAAGGTGGAAATGGCATTATCTAATTTGCATTTCAAAAAGAACACCCTGGCTGCTGTGGTGTAGAATAAATTGCAGAGGAGCAGTACGGGTAGGAGATCAATTCTGTGTGGAATACCCATCTGTCGTTCCTCCCTGGGATTCTCCTTCCTGTTCTTTAAACCTTCCTCCTGAGCCAACATTGTTTATTACTCTGTATATTTTGTACACAACACTTTTGCTGATGTTTGATTTCGTTCCGTGTCTTCTTTGCTCTCTGAATTGCGGACTGCTTGATGATAGGAGTCAGGTCTTTTGGACATGCTTTTGATACCTTGACAGTTCATTCAGTACAACTTTGTTGAATGAGTGAATGAATGACTTCACTGAGCAGGGATTGAACTTGATTAGGGAGACTTTAAGACTTGACTTAACTATATAAACAAAGGCACAAATGTAGGAATGCCTCATATTTAAAGAGGTTAAGATAGTCGGCGTCATAGTGACCCTGGATAGGGTTTCTGAAGAGCAGCTGGTGAGCTTGAACTGCAGACCTTGTGGTCCTCAGTCCAGTGCTGATCCTACAGTGCCACACATCTTTAGGCATTGCCAAATGTCCCCAAAGATTTAGGTGAGGGCCAAAGTGGCCCCTGATTGAGTCACTGCCCTAGGTAATTGTTAAGTGCCATCAAGTTGGTTCTGACTCATAGCAACCCTCTATAGGAATTCTGAGGAGCAGCTGGTGGGTTTGAACCAAATGCCTTGTGATTCATACTCCAGTGCTGACCTTACAGCACCACAAATCACTAGACATTGTAAAATATCTCCAAGGATTTGGGTGAGGGCTAAAGTGGCCCCTGATTGAGACTCATTGCCCTAGGTAATTGTTGTTAAGTGCCATCAAGTTGGTTCTGACCCACAGTGATCCTGTATAGGGTTTCGAAGGAGTACCTGGTGGGCTTGAACCGCTGCCTTTGTGGTTCACAGTCCAGTGCTGATCCTACAGCACCACACCAAGAGTCCACCCTAGGTAATTGGAAGGCATCAACAAAATCTTGTCAGGAGGTGCTGTAACATAGCCAGTGTTTCAGCAAGATTAATTTGGACATAAGATGATGTGAATTATTAGAAGCAAAGGGAAACTATACAGAGACTTAACAGAAAAATATAAGATAAATTAGATTATATATTAGAGGACCCTGGTGTACTCGTTCGGTATAGAATTTAATTAAATATGAAAGACATTAATAGAGTCTGAGTGCAAAAACAGAAGTGTGGATGTGTCATTAATAAAACAAAGTCTCTTGTCCCATCAAGTATTCACATTCTAATGAGCTTATGTTCTAGTAAATATGTTTTTCATTACTTAATTTTTTTCTTCTGTTTCACATTTGCAAATTATCATATTTCTGTTTGTTTTCATAACTAATACTGACTTATTTTAGTGTTTGCATGCCATGGAGATCCAAGTCATGATACAGTTTCTACCTGTAATTCTTATGCAACTCTTCCGAGTTCTCACAAATATGACCCACGAAGATGACGTTCCTATCAACTGCACCATGTGAGTTTCGGTGTTCTACACAAAAAACATATTTTATTTTCTTTAGAGGTTTTTTTTCCACTTTAAGTATAAATTTTCCGTCCAATTGAGAACCTAAAAGTTAGAAATTGATTTTTGCTTTCTCACCAAGTATTTTCATGCTTCTCCGACTAGGGGACAGATGGTATCAGAAGTCATAGGATAAACCTGATACATTTTTCTCAACCAAAGGTTCTAAAAATTTGGTGCTGATTACAATCCCTGGGGGCTGTGTTTCGGAATGCCTGTGTCTAGAGTATACTTTCTACCAATTAAATTAGAATTACCATGGTAGAGGGGGCAGAACTCGACACATTGTTCTTTTGTCATATTTCCCAGATGACTCCATAATACAACAGAGTTTGAGAACTGTTGCCTTAGACCAGTGATGTGCAACAGCACTTTCTATGAGGATGGGAATGTTCTACACCAGTGGTTAATGCAACTGAGGAACTGAGTTTGAACTGGGCTCTCACATTGAGCATAGCAGCCCTAAGCCATCAGTGTGTACTGGACAGAATAAGGGAGTATTATTTTTATATGAACACTAACACAAATCTAGAGTAGAATGGCAGATGCACCTGAATTTTGAAATTAAAACAGGAGACTTCACAGAAATCGTGAGCTCAGTGCTGGATGTTTCTGACTTTGCTGCTTCTGCCATTGCCATAACCTCGGTGCCCAGGCCTCAAACCTATGCATATCTGTACACCATTTGTTTTCCTCTGCTGTTGGTTGGGTTTGGTCTGGTTGTAAAAATGAAGTGTTGACTCTAGCTCCAAATCAGCAGCATCAGGATCACCTGGGAACTTTTTAACAATGTTAACTATTGAACTTCTCCCAGGACCTACACAGTCAGAAACTCAAGGTCTGAGCCCAGCAGTCTATTCACAAGTCTTCCAGGGAATTGTGATTTATACAAATATTTGAGAACCATTGCTAGTATCTTCACTTTAAAACTTTTTATGAATTTTATTTTTACTTCCAAGTTTAGTTCATGCCATGATACCTGTCGCGTGTCTCCCCGTACCATTTTTACCCATCTGTTGACATGCTTTTCGGTTTACCTTTCTATTGTTTTCATCCTGTTCTAGTAGATGGAGTGTTCATAGTCCCCTTACTCAAAAGTATTTTACCACATAGTTGCTGCCACCAGACTTCCAGTGCACATAGAGATTTAGAAGGAGATGGAACACTTAGGTTGCCAATTTCAGGTATCCTTTTGAACCAGGCAATATATTTTCAAAGGCCCTGAACATGTTAGAACCACACTACCGTTAATTACACCTTAGGTAATTATTTCACTTTTAATATTCAGCCAGTGTTAGATGCTCTTAGGGTTAGAAATGGCTATCTTATTTAACAATCAAATGATGGTAGTTGTTGCACAACCTGCTGGCTTGTAAATTTTTGTTTCAGGGTTCTCTTACATATTGTATCAAAGTGCCATGAAGAAGGCTTGGATAACTATTTGAGGTCCTTCATAAAGGTTGGTGTCGTAAGCTTGTTTTCTAAGCAATTTATGTTATGTGGAAAGTTGGTTTCATGGGTTGATTTCTTTGTTTGTAGTATAGCTTCCGACCTGAAAAACCCAGTGCTCCTCAGGCCCAGCTAATACACGAAACCCTTGCTACTAGGATGATAGCAATACTGAAGCAGTCTGCAGATTTTTTGGCAATAAACAAACTGCTAAAGGTAAGGACGCAGGACACGTTGGGAACAAAAGCAGCCATAGACATATTCAGGAGCTAGTCTTCCTGTTTAGCTCTAGTCTTTCTTCATTTTCTCATGTGACCCTCCCTCTCCCCACCACTTTGCCCATACATCCTTTTCCCTCAAGTTCTCCACACAGCCTTCTCCACCTTCCCTACCCCCTGATCCCAATCACGTGTGTGTTCAAAGTATTTTGGATCAGAGAGACCTGGGTTAGAATCCTGGGTCTACCACATACTAGTTCTGTGACAGTGGGCCAGTTTTTTAGCCCCTGTGAGCCTTCAAAGGAGCCCTGGAACAGTAGTTATGCACTGATCTACTAACTTACCAAGTGGCTCCAGAGGAGACAAGCCCTGGAGATCTGCTCCTGTAAAGAGTGCAGCCTAGAAAATTCTATGAGGCAGTTCTGCTCTGTCATATGGGGCCACTAGGCATCGAAATCAACTCAACAGCGCACAACAACTGATCATCCCAGGTTTTGTTTCTTACATACATGTAAAGCAGCACAGTTTCTGGCTTATTGTTGTTATGCTTTTTCATTATCTCAAAAAGCCATGGTGGCACTGTGGGATAACCATTGGGCTGCTAATCACAAGGCCAGAGGTTCAAACCCACCAGCCATCCCATGGGAGAAAGGTGGGGCTGTTGGCTGTCATAAAGATTTATAGTTCAGAAACCCTACTCTGTTCCATAGGATCTCCAGGAGTCCGAATCGACTCAGTGGTGGTGGATTTGGTTTGATTTTCACGATTTCTGTTATCAGTGGTAGAATTTCAGATACCTTAGTACATATCTGCTTAAGGCTTCTCTGTACCCTTCAAATCACACTATGTACATTACCTAAACTGACCCCAGTTTTGTACCAAGAGTGGAATATGCTGAGTTCAGGCATAATAGAATTTATTGTCTGTAGGGAATTTCAAAATAAGCAAATCAACTAAAAAGTTGATTATGATCATGTCCTGACAATTCTACACAATGTCAGTGAGAAACTATCCCTCCCCACTAGGGGCAACAATCCCACACCACACCCTTTGTACATCACCCTGTGATACAATATTACATTACTCTAAAAACAACTTGAGAAAATATTATGTGGGACTTTGATAATGAATTGGGCTCACTTTCAAATGCTATCAGAATTCAGAAACAAGATCCATATGGATTTGACAGATTTTGTTAAAGCTTCTAAAATTTGTGTAACCTTTATTAAAGATTTGTTTGTTTGTTTGTTTTAGTACTCATGGTTTTTCTTTGAAATTATTGCAAAGTCGATGGCTACATACTTGTTGGAAGAGAATAAAATTAAGGTAAGTAGGCTCATTATTTAATATAGGCAAAGAAAGCAAATCTTATAGTCATGATATGCAAATTCTCTTACAGTTAAGAACTGTTTAAGAGAATTACATGGATTGTATAAATGTTAGCACTGACAGTTGATACTGTTCACAATCTAATCTACAGAAACTCTTCCTAAATATGCTTCCCTTTCATTGTTTGCCACATGAAATTCATTATCTTTGAAGCTTTGCCTTTGTCTTGTGAGTTAAAAATGTCTGTGGGAAACATTCGTTAGCAAGAAGAACACATATCAAATCAGAAATAACCTTTGTCTTAGAAAGTTCTATGTCATGTACAAAGTTAAAAGCACTTTATGCAATTGATGTGTTCCTGAAATGAGGTGTATACATTTAGTTATTTTTAACATTGTATTAAAGGCACAAAATTTTTTTGTTAGTTACAGGAATCCTAAAGCTACGACTTAAAAGTAAAAAAACATGAACAAAAAATCCCCATGTTTATCTCTTATATTCAAATTATCATAGAATAGATTTGTTGAAATTGAGATGCATGCATTCTCTTGTCTCAGGAAACAAATGAAATTAAAATCTTGGATAGGTCTGTATCTCAGGAACACAGTATTGCTGATGGTTTTAGCTCGTTATGTTGTTAGAGGGCGATGGTTCTTTGTAATGATCTACAGTTACGTGTACCGTGACTTAGTGATATCATTTGTTAATATGGGAGCAAGTATACTCTAGTATAAAACATGTTTATATATGGAATGTATTTGAACATTAAAATGGCAATTTATTTAGACCTTTTGGAACTCTGACTTGTGTCTACAACTGTTTAAGCTTCCCAGAGGCCAGAGGTTTCCCGAAGCATATCGCCATGTCTTGCATTCACTACTCCTGGCAATAATTCCCCATGTGACAATTCGCTATACAGAGATTCCTGATGAGTCCAGAAATGTCAATTATAGTTTCGCTAGTTTCCTCAAGGTGAGTTAATGGCAGTTTGAATGAACATGGTAAGTGACAATTTTTCACTGATTACAGTCTGGAAAGCCAGAAAACAAATTACCCACTTTCTAGAAACCCGGCTAGGTCTCTAGAAGGCTGCTGGAAAACCTCTTTTGACTGAATCATCCATCCAACTAGTCCAACCAAGTGTGACTGATTTTCTTCCCCCACTGAAGTGATTGGTCAATCAAATCAGAGGTTCCACACAGGCAGCGTGGCCAGCAGACATGTTTTGTTTGTCCTATCCAGTATTTTCTAGAATATTTTCATTGGAATGCCTGTAGATGGGACAAGTACTGCCTTGTTTGTCATAGTCTGCACATAGTCCTTAGTTATTCCAGATTGTCTTTACACATTGAAATCACTTCTCGAATCTCCATGGGCTTTTGAGTTTGCAATTCTTGAACTAAGGCTGTTTGCTGATGTAACACCAGTCTACATGTTACTAATATATGTGAATGAAAGTTGTTCTTTTTGATCAATGTGGCTAATTTGAGAATGTAATACAATGTCTCAAACACTGTCTTAGTGTTTGTTGGGTAAATGAATACATGAATATAAACAGACCTCAGTAATCCTGGTGAAAGGTGATGAGGATCTAGCCCAGGGCAGTGACAGCAGGAATTGAAAGGAGAAGATAGGGAGATGTAAGAGTAACAACTGGTTAATCAACTATTGTTGTTGTTATGTGCTGTGGAGTCGGTTCCGACTCATAGCGACCCTGTACAGGGTTTCTGAGGCTGTAAGTCTTTACGGGAGCAAAAAAGCCCCGTCTTTTTCCCACGGAGCAGCTGGTAGTTTTCAACTGCTGACCCTGAGGATAGCAGCCCGATTTGTAACCACTACACTACCAGAGCTCCAGTAATCAAATATTAGCTTCCTTCTATTTCACAGGTAAGTGCTAGACACTATGGAGAATAGATACAAAAATTCCATTATCTTTTAATTCCATTTTTCCACAAACTTTTCGAAGCCACCTCATCCACACACACACACACACACACACACACACACACTCACATACACATGTGTGTTTATGCATATGTGTGTATAGATATATTTCTTTTCTGTTGTCCTGTCTGGTAAGAACATGTAAAAATGATCATTACATTATAAGCAGATATAGAATACAGTATTAAAAGGGACCTGTGGACCAAAATGGTGAAGAAAATTGGGACTTCAGCAGAACCTTGAAGAATGAACATGGTTACAGAATTTCTGGAACCATGGAGGCTAAAGGAACCCTGGAAACTATTGGCCTGAGATCATCTTTAAATCTTCAACTCAAAATATACCCTGAAGTCTCCCTAAAATCAAACAGTAATTTAACTTAACCAGTAAAGAATGTCTGCCTTAAACATTTGTGCTTTTTAAAGAACTATCTCTATGAGATCAAGTTGACAACAGTGACTGCAGAGATAAGCTAGGAAGCTTAGGGGGCAGAGAGTTTATATTCATGAAGAACAACTCACAAAGGAAAAGTGAGAATGGCTAGACAACTCAAAGAATGCAATCTCAGCACCACTGAATTGTACGAGCACATGTAGAAATTGTTGAATTGGTCTTTGCTGTCCAGTGTGAATTCAGCAACAGCAAAAAAGAATGGACAAAATTAGCTACAGGTAGTGACAGAGTTGCTAGACCTCACATGAGTAAAGACACAGAGGTGGCACTACCCAGGGCACCTTGAGAGGATAATGCATAGCTGAGTTGTATTTGAGAAATAAGTTGGAAAGGTAAGTTGGAACACACTTGTGAGCATCCTTGAATGCTAAACAAAGGAATTTCCAATGATATTGGAGGCAATAGGGAGCTGTTGAAAGGTTTTTGGCAGGAGGGTGACATGATGACAGCTAGAATGTAGAGATTCATCTGGAAGCAGATTAATGGAGAGATTTGATACATGAAGACCCAGTAAGGCAGCTAAAGGCAATTCTTCAATGGCAAGGTAATGAATGAGAGCCTTAACTAGGAAAATGTCAGCAGACAAAGATGAACCGCTCCTAGGATTAATACAGAGGAAGAGTATTTGAATAGGCCAAGATTTCACAGGGCACACTGCAGAAAATTCCCCTTTGGTGTGTATATTACTTACGTTTGCATATCCAGGTTTTAATACCTAACTGACAGCACCACAAATCACTTTGGGTTTTGAGACGACCAAAATGAATAAGACTGTGCATGTGCGCATGCACTTGTATGCATGTTTATCTATCTTTCAAAAGTTGTGCAGTTGAGTCCCAATTCCAACAAGTCTGTTGCCAATTTCCCATCATTTCCTTCTTTAAGATCTGAAAGCTGTTATATATAAAATGGGAATGATCATCCCCTTAGCATGGAGCAAAACTCATACTTGAGAGACTTTTTGTTTTTTGTTTTTTTTCTCTAGCGCTGTTTGACACTAATGGATAGAGGATTTGTTTTCAATTTGATAAACGATTATATATCTGCATTCAGCCCCAAAGATCCTAAGGTGAGTCTTAAGAACAGAATTCACTTGGGTGTGAGCCATTAGAATGCATGGTCAAGGGTGGCATTTATTCTCCTCTGAAACATTTGGAACTGTGATTTTGGCAAGATGATTCGAGTATTAGCTGTACCTCAAAGCAAGGAATATTGGATAGTGTTTTGGGGGTCCCCAAAAAATACATTGACAGAGAACTGCCAGAGGTTCAAGCCAGATGCAGACTAGGATGTGGAACGGGGGATATCATTGCTGACATCAGATGGATCTTGGCTGAAAGCAGAGAATATCAGAAAGATATTTATGTGTACTTTATTGGCCACGCAAAGACTTTTGACTGTGTGGATCATGACAAGCTATGAACAACATTGTGTGAAGTATAAGTATTCTGAAATACTCAATCATGCTCATGAGTAAACTGTACATAGACCAAGAGGCAGTCCTTCGAAGAGAACAAAGAGACAACTGAATGGCTTAAAATCAGGAAAGGTGAGTGCCAGGGTTGTATTCTCTCACCATACATGTTCAGTCTGTATGCTGAGCAAATAATCCAAGAAACTGCATTATTATATGAAGAAGAGCATGGCATCAGGATTGGAGGAAGAGTCATTAAAAACCTGTGATGTACAGATGATACCACCTTGCTTGCTGAAAGTAAAGAGGACTTAAAATACTTACGGATGAAAATCTAAGACCACAGCCTTCAGTATGAGTTGCACCTACATGTAAAGAAAATAAAAATCTGCACAACTGGACCAATAAATATCATCATAATAAATGGGGAAAAGTGTGATGTTGTCCAAGACTTGATTTTTCTGGACTCCATAATTAACACTCGTGGATGCAGCATTCAAGAAATAAAACAACCCATGTTGTTAAATGCCGTCGAGTCGGTTCCAACTCACAGCGACCCTCTAGAGGGTTTCCAAGGAGCGACTGGTGAGCTTGAACCACCAACCTTGCACTTCAAACTGACTTTGCAGTCTAGCGCATTAACCCACAGCGCCACACCAGGACTCCTAAAACGACACGTCGCACTAGGCAAATCTACTGCACAAGACCTCTTTAAAGTGTTCAAGAACAAAGATGTCAGTTGGAGGACTAAGGTGTGCCTGACTCAAGCCGCGGTATTTTCAGTAGCTTCATATGCATATGAATGTTAGACAGTGAATAAAGAAGACCTTTGAAGAATTGCTGCATTTGAGTTACGGTGTTGGAGGAGAATATTGACAGTGCCATGGACTGCCAGAAGAACAAACCGATCTGTGTTGGAAGAATTACAGCCAGAATGTTCCTTTGAAGCCAGGATGGCCGGACTTTGTCTCTCACAGATCAGACATATTATCAAGAGGGACCAGTCCTTGGAGAAGGACATCATACTTGGTAAAGTGAAGGGTCAGGGAAAAAGAGGAAGACCCCCAATGAGATAGATTGGCACAGTGGCAGCAACAATGGGCTCAGGTTTATTTTGAGGATGACGCAGGACCAGGCAGTGTTTTGTTCTGTTGTGCATAAGGTCACTATGAGTTGGAACCAACTTGACAGCACCTAACAAAGAACAAGACTACACCCACATGTTTGATGATCCACTTGAAGGACACATAGGACTCAACATACACATATAGTCATACTCATTCATTGTGTCAACACAATAGGGATGTCCAGCCAGTTCTGGAAAGGAAAAAGATACAAAGTAGTCTGTAGGAATCCAGGTTAACAAACTCCCTAGGTCTTTCTCTCCTGTGAAGGATCCTATAGAGCACAACCTTCCACCATCAGGGAAACTGCAAGTAAAAATGTGCACTGTTTTTCCTCAGGGGATCCCGTTGGAGACTGAGAGATGTAGAGTTTTTTGTGTTTTTTCTTTTCTATTTTAGGGGCTGCCCATGTAGGCACCCCTTGCCCGTCAGAAGTTGAGACTCAGAAGGAAAGCAAGTGTTCACCACAAAGCACACCTGACTACATAGGAAGGGAATGTTTCAAAATCGAATTGCCCAGATGGCAGCCTAAGACCAGCTTTGCAACCTTTCTTAGTATAGCTGTCTCAGGCCGGCTAGATGAAGATGCTGCACATCTTCAGCTGCAGATGCTAAACACTTTGGTGGGGGAACTCAATGCTCTAATATGAAATGATTCAAATTGTAAATGCCTACTCCATCTGAGTTCATGCATAATTTCTCTCCTTCTAGGTCCTGGCTGAATACAAGTTTGACTTTCTGCAAACCATTTGTAATCACGAACATTATATTCCTCTAAACTTGCCAATGGCATTTGCAAAACCGAAACTGCAGAGAGTTCAAGGTATGTGTTCACATGTTCCATCATTTGGAATCCTTTCTTTTGTTCTCGCTCTCGCTTTGTAGCTAGTGTTAGTTTAGCATAATGTTTTCTAGTTTAGACCTGTCCGCTTCAAGGGAACCTAAGAATTGTTACTTCAGGAAGATCGGGTTATGAGTGGTATTGCGTGCTTCCTTCATAGTGGTAGTGGTAGCTTTCCTAGTCTGAAGAAATCAGTTCTGTTGCATAGATTGATTAAACACAGATGGCAGGGACTAGTAAAATTGTTCTCTGTAGTAGTGTTTGGAAATTCGGATTAAATTGTTATTTTAAAAAATTCTCCTGAAAGAAGCACCAGAAGAAAATATAAGCGCAGAGTTAAAAGCTTAATATGTATATATTGACTATTTATCAAATGCCTTCAGTTATCTCCATTGCTAGTTGTATTGAATGTTTTGTTGTGTAGCACTATTCTTATGTTACTATGTTTTTTATTTGTCCCTTTTCTTTTCATATATTAATTAGATTTTTTTTCATTTGCGGTGGACCGTTTGACTTCAGTAGGTAGGTTTAACTCGGTTCACTCTATAGAAGTTTGCTTTCTTTAAAAACAATTGATGAATGGAGAAGATGGATGTGGGCTTTGTTTGCTTTTCAAATCCTTCTGAGCCAGAACAAGGAGGCTTAAAAGGTCCTCAGAAAAGCTAGCGGGCTGTGTGTTTGTTTACTTTGTAAAGAAGCTTGAGTGTTGCTGGCAGAACTTGCTTTAGAAAGCCCACAAGTTTCTGGGGAAAGGCAGCACAAGAGCAAGAGGTGGGGGCTCAGAAGGCATCTACTCTGTAAGTGCAGTGCAACAACCCCCCCCCACCCCCCATTTAAGGATTACTTGGCCACAGTGTGAAGGTGTGACTAAAACCTCCTGATTGGATTTCTTCAAATCGCTGAAATTAAAAAAAAAAAAAAAAAAAGAATTAACATTTGTAAA